GGGTGAGAGGGAGATAAAGAGAGAGGGGGGATAGAGAGAAATTGAGAGAGGGTGAAGAAGAGAGAAACAAAGATAAAGAGAGAGAGGGTGAGGAAAATGGATGGAGAGACAGAAAGAGGGATAGAGAGAGAGAGAGAGAAGAAGAGAGAGAGAAAGAGACAGAAAGGCATAGATGGAAAAAGGGGGAGAGAGATGAAGAGGCATGGAGACAGATGAAGAGGCATGCGGAGGGAGAGAGTGAGAGAGAGAGAGTGAGAGAGAGAGAGAGAGAGAGAGAGAGAGATGCTTGGTAAAAGAGTGTAGTCACAAAAGCAAAGGGAAAAAAAACAAAAGAAATATCAATAAAATATAACAAAGAAATATAAATATACATATTATAGAAAAACTAACTATAAAAAAAAAAAAAAAAAAAAAAAAAAAAAAAGAAAAAAAAACAAAAAAAAAAAAAAAAAATATAAAAAAAAAAAAAAAAATTAAATTTTATGGAAAAACTAACTTTAAAAAAAAAAAAAAAAAAATACTACTATAAAGTCACTATAGTGGTTTCTTTTTTTAAAAAAATGCACACTTTTCCAAACATAATTATTTTTTGTATACTATACGAATGGATGTTATTATTTATTGCAGTTTTACTATTTAAAAAAAAAAGCAATACAACCGCTCGTAAGTTAACAGTAACAAAAAACCCCACAAAAATGCTCACTAGAGATTCAGGCTGAGACAAGATGGTAAACTAGTGACTGGAGAGAGTGTGCTCAGCTGTCGCTAACTCATCTGTCATCCAACCGACCAATCTTATATAGAGGGCCTTCACGCTTCAGTTTTGGTGTTGGGGGGGGGGGTCACGTGATGAAGGAGATCAAGCCCCTGAGCCCTGCACCGGGGCTCGTCAGCCACCAAAGATGACCGGTTTCTGACCGGTTTGTAACAAGGATTACCGTACTGCCCTCGCCCCCCCCCCGACCCACCCCCGAGGGGTACCAGGAAGAGATTGAGGTCATTTCGGGGTTTGAGATGCCGGTAGTCAGTCATGATTGACTGCATCCGTTTAACCACCAGAAGTGCCCCCAGGGATCTAAATTATTTTTAATTAACGCCATTCTCAATCAAATGTAATTGAGCCAAATATTTTTTTTTTATAAATATGTAATGGCATCATGACTTAATTTACTGAGCTTAAGTTTTTTTTTCTCCATATTTTGTTTAAAGAATGTATTCTAATTGAAATGAAGATTATTCTTTGAAATCTAAAACTCAAACTGTAAGGATGGTGTACATATGACATAAATAATAATACAAACTGAAAGAAAACAACTTACACACCCACCCCCCCCCCCCCCCCAGGATAGTGACAAAGTGGTGTTTTGGTCCACACTTCACCGATTGCCGGCATCTGCTGTAACTTTTGGATAAGTGAATGTATATACATTTAAAACAGGCCCCTTGCTGATTCCTCTTGTCACACTATCGCACGGAAATAAGCTTCTTTTTAGTGGCTCACCCTGATAACACGAGCCAATGGCTCTTTAATTTTTTGTTTAATTTACTTAAAAAATTAACTAAAAAGTTATAATAAACTTACCGTATCCAAAACCGTATCCACCTCCGTATCCACCGAGACCGCCGAGGCCTCCGAAGCCTCCCAGGCCTCCGAGACCACCGAAGCCTCCTAGGCCGGTTCCGAAACCGAAGCTCCCAAAGCTTCCGAAGCCTCCAAGCCCACCAAGGCCTCCGAACCCGCCAAGGCCTCCGATCCCGCCGAGGCCCCATCCAAGACCGCCGAGTCCGCCAATGCCGCCGAGTCCGCCAATGCCGCCGAGTCCGCCAAGACCCCCGTAACCGCCAATGACAGCGGTGGCCTGGGAGCCCATGGCTAGGGCGGCGATGACGAGGACACAGATCATTGTGTTCATGGTCTGGAAACAAAACAACAAAAAAAAACAAGATGGTGTGAGTTTAAATGTATGCACATTCGACAATTCCTAATTTAAGGTCTGTGTCAAAGATAATTTGCAAAATTGTCATTGAAACTAAATACATTTTTTTTTACGGGAAAGAAGTTTAATTATTAACGATATAATTATTTATAGTATTCATAAATTGAGAATATATATATATATATATATATATATATATATATATATATATATATATATATATATAT